AAAGGAATGGTGTCCTTCCAACAAGTGTATTATTCTGATAGAGGGTTCAGAATTATTACAGAGCTAATTCTTCAGTAAGATAAAGTGATCGGTATGCCTAGGTGGAGGCCGCTTCCGATCAGTAATATTAAGGTATAATTAATATTACAGCTTAATCTTAACTGAACCCTTCGGGTCGAACCCAATCGAACAACTGATCCGAGACGAAAAATCAATCCGAAGGATTTAATGAGTCGTCGGAGTTTTACGAACAAAGACGTCGGATATAGAGCCTAGGGCGTCGAGGCCGAGCGTCGCAAAATAACAAGCAACAAGTACTAGCATAGCCGTAGCTAGGTTAGGCTAGCTCATCGCAAGCCTAAGCGCACCATGGTGTACTAGGCGCGCCATGAATGCTAGGCGCACTAGGCTGCCCATCGCAGCACCACCTACGTGTGTGTGCCTTCGCATGGCATAGCAACACAGCAGCGTGCGTGCCTGGGTGCCTAGGCGCCATCGCAGGCCACATGCACCAAGCACAGCCCATCGCAGTGCTAGGCACTTGCGTGTGTGTGCGTGTGCTTGTGCCTAGGCCTGTCGCTCCATCGCAGCACGCAGCCTAGCACCATCGCCAAGCATCAAGCCATCCAGCATGCGTGGCTCGCTAGCAGCACGCATGCTGGGCCTCGCATGGGTGTGCACATTGGCAGGGCCTAACTATGCGAGTGTGTGCGAGGAAGAGCTAGGCAGCAGCACTACGCAACAGCTAGCCTGGCTGTGCGTGTGCATGTGCATGTGCATGTGCTAGGCAGTAGCGCCACGCTAGCAGCACCAGCGCCCAGAGCTCGCAGCATGCTAGGGGCTAGTGCGTGCTAGGCCAGTGCATGCTGGCACTGCTTGTTGGCACAGCAAGCTGGCTGGCTGCCCAGCCTTGGTGCTAGGTGCCAGCTGGCAGCCTTGGCAGCCAAGGCAGGCTGCCAACCCAGCTGTCTAAGGTGTGGCGGTTTGAGGGAGTAGGGACCTAAGGCTTGGAGCATGCCTTGGGGAGCAAGGCAATGGTCCCCCCAAAGATTCATGGTCCTCACCTAACCCTCTCTCTCCCCTTGACACTTGTTGCATTGTGATTGCATTTAATTAATTATTTAATTTAGAATTAAATAAATTAATGATTTTGCACATTATCCCACATTGATCATGAAATGGGATTCAAGTTGCCATTCTCTATAAATACCCACTTGGTTTGGATTTTGAGAAGAACACTTGAGTGGAAAAGTAAAGGCAACTCCATTGTTGAGTATACCTTGACATTCGTAAAACTCCAAGTTTATATTTGTCCGGGCCTTGACTAACCTTTGAGGCTTAGGACGCTCGGGTCGGGTTCGAGGGTACGATCCCATTGGAGGCCTCGTGTTTTTGAGGTTCAAGTAAGAGCTCATAGTTGAGCGAAGCACGCTTCAAAGGTATAATCTTTTATCCTTTATTATGCTTTTAATTATGTTTTGCTTGTTAATTGCATTTATTATGGGGGTGGGTCTTGGCGGGTTTCATTCCGCGTAGTGTGGGTCACTACGAAACCCTACATCATTTAAGAGTGAGAGTCGATAGTCTAACATTACCCTCCCGAAACCCCGCTTGGGGAATTCTTAAGTCGCGTTGTATGATATGTTCTAAGCTAACGTTCATGACCAAGGTTGTGCGTGCAGGTGGACCTTATTGGAGCAGTCACGATTGAACCTATCGGGGCTCGGTTCATGTAAGAAGCACGCTATTTGTATATATGTTAATTATGTTAATCATTGAATTTGGATTATTACATTGGTCTAAAGATGGGTTTTGGTTTCCGCATATCGATTAGATCGGTGTAAAACCCTAAACCCCTAGTGTAGTTTATTGTGCTTAATGTGTAACTCATGTTGCAGCATACTAAAGTGCAACTAGCACAAGCACTTGTCTCTCTTGGCTTGGCATACATAATAACGACATGTATGTTGCAGTGTTGCTCGTCTCGCTTCGGTTTTACGTTGTGTTTTCTCACGAGAAGTTGTGCACTCGTGGTGTACTTTAAACATGTTTAACGCAATGCTACCTTTACATGATCACAACTTGCAATATAAATTTAATAGTGGTCATATGAAACTTAGGCAAGTAAATACCATGTGGCCTGGGGACAATAATGCTCGTAGAAGGCATGGACATAATCATTAAATGGTTCATATATCTAAATGCAATTAGAATATTTTTGCTTTACCAGTTTGTTGAGGTAAATATTATTTCTGTACCAACAAGTCAAATACCCTATCTTGTTCTAGAGTATTAAGAGACTGCCCCTATTGAAACTGGTTTTGAAATGATAACCTCGTTAACATAACACAACAAAACAGTAAAAAAGTTATTCTTGAAAAAGTTTAGAAAAGTTAGATTGCTAAACAAATAAATAGATGAACATGTAACACAAGATGCATACACTTTCCATTAGTTAAAAGATAAGTTAGGATTACAATTATTGTACAAGGTGAAGAAAAGATTGCATTCATGTTCATACAATTGGAATAAATGATCAATCTTCAATACATGCTAAGTAAAATATCCTATCGCTTGACTACTAAGCCAAAGAAAAGTAAGAAAGATGTAAAGAAAGCTTAAAAGAACATGAAATGCTTTGTGTTAGTTGATTCGATGATGCCTTCTCTATGTAATTCTTCCTCTATTTATAGGTAAACAATCACTCTAGACTCCCCCATGATCTCTAATAAATGTTGATCGATTATAACTCTTGGTGCCAAACCTTATTTAAATTCATCTCTTAACCGTACAAAACCCGGTTTTCTTTAGTCTTTGGGCCTTTTCTTTGGCTTTATATTCATCCTTGGCCAATCATGATTCTCTTATCGATGGGTTGTCTTATCCTTATAAATAAATTACTCCCACTATGGTCATCCTTGTCGGTCATATTTCTCGGTCAACGTAGGTCAACAAAATTTTAAGTTTGTGTGTAGCACAAGAGCAAGATATGTAGTAACTTTAGTAAAGTGTCCTTGTGAGAAGAGATTGTGAAATTTTAGGTAGCACAAATGCACAAAATACGCAAGTCACTTAGTCCAGTCTTTTACTCCATATTCTTTAGAATATCATGAGCTCGTTTGTTCCGTGTCAAGACAACCTAAACGCTGAAACTGCTTCCCTACATAAGGTATTGTACGACCAATAACTTATCACTACAAGCACTCAAAGAGAATTTAAGTAGTAAGAATCTATATTTTTTTATATATTAAAAAACGTTCTTAAAAATGTTTATGTGCCACGTGTATCTTTCTTATAATAGTATTTGCCACATCACCCCTTAATAGCTCATGCCAACGCGATAACTGTACCTTTCTTGCACTAACATCGTGCCACGTTACCCCTCAATGGCTCATGACAATGTTACACGTGTACCCTTCTTGCACTAGCATTCTGCCATGTCGCCACTCAATAACCCATGCCAACGTTAACTAAAAATGCATAGAAAGAGGTTTCTCCATGCCAACGTTAACTTAAAAATGCATAGAAAGAGGTTTGACTCCTAACCATTCAATAATAGAAAAAGGGAAATGCGCACCGGTTCAACACTGGCTTTTCGCACCGGTTTTGAACCGGTTTAGATTTGAGGGATGCCAAAAAGTGAAGATATTCGCACTGGTTCAAAACCGGTGGTAATAACAGTTATTAGCACCGGTTAACTGGTGGTAATAACAGTTATTAGCACCGGTTAACCGATGCTAATAACGTGTTATTCGCACCGGTTCAGTTCAAAACCGGTGCCCTTAATGACCCAAAAAAATAAAAAAATAATTTTTCTTTTTGTATTTTTTTACTTAAATAGATATATAAACACTAACATATATATAAAGTTACATATTTTCATTAAAAAAGGTTGTAATATAACAATTTTCGTCCAAAAAAATAAAATAAAATAAAATACAAGGTTACACACAAATAAAATAAAAAAAAAAAAAATAATATTCTGTTATGGATTACGCAACAAAATATTGAAACATAAAATGTTTAATACACTATTAATCACATTATCTGATTTTGATAAACCCACCACTAATAAGAGCGGGTAGCAGAATATGAAATCAAATCAGGGGACAAAAAACTTATCTACTCTCAACTCGCTACATAAGACATAAAGGTATTGCAGCCAAGAAATTAATAACAGAGTTAAGCAAGATAAGAGGATATAGATAATGGATACACACAACTATGCAAAGCACCCAACTAGCTGCAAATTTAATTAAATAGGATTAGGAAAACAAGGGGCACTTCGTTGTTGCAAGTTTTCTTTCTATATAAAAGCTATGGAGTAGAAAATAAGTTTTTTGAAAAATAATAGTAGCTATTACATGCTATATTCTGTTATAAATTTTCAGATATAACATGATTAGTAAAAATATGAGTAATCTAAGTTCAATTACAACCTATATCTATTAAAAGCTTAAAACAGGAAACAGAAAACTAAAAATTGACCAGAACATTAAGTAAAATCTAATATCAAACATGTTACGTACTAAAAGAGACCAGATCAACGAGCCAACCTATGCTAAAACCTTAATTATTATGCAGTAACTCATGTCAACAATATCTAAATCTTACACAGGATCTAATCATCATAATCCTTTACTCATACATAGTTAAAAACATACCCATCACTTTCTTTAGCTTACTTTTACTACATATTCTCTTCTGGAATTAGCAATTTCCAACACTAGGGTAGTGACTAACTGACCATAGGAATGCAGGAGCGAAAACAGCAAATGATTCCATACAAAATTATCAAAAATCAACATGTGTCACTTGATTGCAAATAAAATCTTCAATCCATCTAATAAAATGCTACCTTTAAACTCATACCACCAGGGCTAGCAGGCAATTTTAAGTTTCATTTTTAACAAATTCTGAATTTTTTCCTTCAAAGTTCATATATCAATTACAAAACACCCAATTTTCATAACAAATATACCCATACCACAATAAAGAAATCAATCAAAATATAGCCAAACAAATATATACCCAAAAAATCAAATTCAATGACAACCAATACAATATTCACAATACATCCACAAATCAAACTACTGAAATTTCAAGTATCAAATACTCTATATACTCACAATTCAAATACTCCGTGTACCCATAATTCAAATACATGGGCAGCCTCCACACCAACGCACAATCACACCACGCTTCATAGTAGCTCACCCTTTAATCGCAATCCTCTACAAAGTAGCACAAAAATAATCAATAAATCGGCAAAAATTGAAATTTAAACATCAAGTAACAGAACATGAAAAGGAAAATCATATTTAATTATGAAATTTCACAAAAGCTGAATGAAAAAGGAGATAAATTGCAGAAATTGAATGAATATTGTTTCAGAAAATCCTAGCCATCGATGGCGTTGCTTGCGGCGCAGTAATGGAGAAGGAGAGAGAAAAGGAAAGGGAAAGTGGTGGTGGCTGAGGGATCTAACCGGCGATGACTTCGATATCTGGCCGGTGGTGGCTTCGATTGCATGTGACTGCGAGTTTGAGGAAAGAGAAGGCAAGAGAGAACCTTCATTGTTGTAGATTCAAGAAATAGACGGCGGCGGCTATGATGGTTGTCCTTGGCTCAAATTGACGATGGTTTTCGAAGGAGAGCAGCGATGGTTGAGACTGAGAGCCAGAGATGAGAGAGAACGAGAGATCGAGGAAAGAGAAAGAAAGAAGACAGAAAGAGAAAGAAAGAAAAAGGGCAAGAACTTTTTTTTTTTTTAAATTCGCACCGGTTCGGTTTGAACCGGTGCGATTACTCTTTAATTAACTCTTGCCTTGTTTTTTTCGCACCAGTTTTTAATAACTGGTGCAATTTTCTCGATGCTCATGTTTTTCTACTAGTGATTGGCGGAGCTATATTGGTGCATGGTGGGTCACACGACCCACTATTAATTAAAAAAAACAATTAAAGTTATAATATTGTGATAAAAAAAATGATGTTTAAGATTAATTATTATCAACAAACGTATAGTTTAATTATAAATTGGATTGTTTAATCAAATTTAAATTGTAATTATCTATTACTTTGACAAAATTAAATTGTTTAATATAATCGATTGCACTGCACTATGTGTCTCCTTGGTTCCTTATTATTCTTTTCGTCACGTACTGTATATTATTGGAAATTCACCTTTATTTATTTTTCCATAATATAAAATTGAAGATATTTATTCTTATACAAATAAAGATATAACTTTTTATATACACAGGCTGGATTCAAAGTACACCCAATAATATTTTTTTTTACTCATTTTTGATAAAATTTTAATTAAAAATGAATTAAGTGGTAATATTTATTACTCTTAGAGAATAACTCTTTGTGAATTATTGGTTTTTATTTTTGTAAATAATGCATTATTATTGATTGATATTTCATATGTCGTTGATGGACGGTGCATGATAAGTTGGTGACCTACCATCAATAATATCCAGGATCCATCACTACTCCTAACCTCATTGAATGAACAACACACTTCTTGTCATCCTAACTAGCAACAACTTATGTTATATCCACGTACATAAATATATTTAATTTAAATGTAGAATAAAAAAGCATCCAAAAAAAAACCTCTTAAATTCTCTTTGCCATTCAACATTATAATTTAAATGTATTATACAATGAACTGGCAACTATAATACTATATTAATTCATTGTTGTTACCTACATTTTAATTTCATCACAAAACTCTATAATAAAAGATTTGGAAAAATGGAAACTAATAATCCCACCTTTGTTATTTCTGCTCCAAACGATTCCACCTTTTCGAAATCTAAAAACAATCCCACCTTTTAACACCTTCTTCTCAAAACAGGTCTTTAACCGAATAATTAAATTGGTAACTGTTTAGGGTAAAAAATACCCTAAGACACGTGGCGCTATAAAGGCTTGCCACGTGTCGAGCTTGTAGCGGTCAGCAAAGGCCCAATCCCTTTGCGACACGTGTCATTGTACCCTAATTGAGGTACAACTCTCCCCTACTATAAATTGTAAGGGAAGACCTCATTAATGGGGATTGAATCATTTTTTTCCACCAACCAACAAAACACAAATCCCCTTGCAAACGCTCTAAAATCGAGAAGCATTTATTGTCTTATTTTCTCATTAAGAAAGAGACTAACTTAAACTCCGGAGGCGGAACACCCCAACCCCAGCCGGAGTATTCCGTTATTTGTGCAGGTACAGGCTAAGGAAGGAGCATACTAGGAAATTGTAACTCTCCCGTAGGACACATAAAAAACCCCCAAACAGTAACCTGTTCAGAACCGGTACTGCCGGGTAAAGGTAGTCAACCTGGTGGTGAGGCTGAGGTCCACTCGGACCAAGATACAGCCGATAATCACGAGATTGAGACTTACACAGCTCCCGATGGTTCTTTCAGAACCAAGCATACTCGTTCCAAAGACAAAAGGGAACGGGCAGAGCAACAGGCAGGCCCAAACCATCCTACCAGGGGACCGCTTGGGTTAACTCCTGCTTCAGAGGGGGCCACCCCAGTCTCCAGGGATGAACTCATGAACATGATGATGAGCTTCAAAGGGGAGATCAAAGGCCTTCTGGACAATACTGTTGGCTCCCGTAAGGGTCAAGTGGAAGATAGGCGTCTTGGAAAAAAGACGGCCAAAACAGTACAGGGTAGAGCATCTACCCCTTATCCGAAGTCAAATATGACGGCTAGGCCCTTTGATTTCTCAAAGATACACACTCCCATAGATGGAGTCAGAAAACCCGTCCGGCATATACAACCGGATGGAACCAAGAAAGTCTATTCTGATGCCCGGACGCTCATTCAGGATAAAAAGACTCAGCAGCGCTCCGAGTCGGCATCAACGTCGACCTTTCGAGACAGCTTTAATGCCACATCAGGGAGGCACTCGAGAACAAACAATGACAGCCGGACGAGCGAGGTTTCCGCTTGATCCGACCCTCATATGATCCAACCGGAATTGCATGGGACACCATACACGCCCTTTGGATCTCCTTATGCACAGCCTGATCTTTTTGGGGGGCAGCAGCAGCCGCCTGTCCAGCCAATGGACTAGCAGCTCCGGCTGCTCAACCTTGGGGAACAGCCAACCGCGTTTTCCAGGGAACTCACTGAGATGACCCAGCCGGCAAAAGTTAAAAACGTGTTGGTAGGTGCCTATGACGGTACCACCAACCCAGAAGATCACCTCATGGCATACACCAACCTGATGTATTTGCAGGGTTTGGATGACGCCTCGTGGTGTAGGTGCTTCCCGGCAACGTTGAAAGGGATTGCTCAACGTTGGTTTGATAACCTCCCAGTCGGATGCATCAATAATATCAGGACGTTGGCCTATTAGTTTACGTCCAACTTTTCTATGAACATCCCTGCCAAGAAAACAAGCCTTGATCTAGGGGCAATCCAGCAGGGAGATAAAGAAGGGCTCCGGTCATATGTCAAGCGGTTAAACCTGATGAGGATCCAAATCCATTGATTGTCTGATGACGTTGCCTACACTGATTTCTTTAAAGGCTTAAAAGACAGATCAACTTTTAAGTTTGACTCGGTTAGGAAGAGGGTCTTTACTCTTCACGAGGCGCTTATGAAGGCGGAGGCTTACATTCAGGCAATGGAATTATGTGCTGTGAAACTTCCAACGGATTACAAAAGATCCGACAAAAAAGAGAATCGGCCTACCCAGTCAGCCAAAAAGGAAGATAAGAGAAAGGGGGTATGGGCAGCAAACTCATCCGGACAACCTTTCCAGAAAAGAAAGAGGTCAGATCCGTATGTGCCAAAGTACGAATTCAACAAGGATTGTGCCTCCATTCTCAAAGACGTAAAGGACCGGTTGAATCTTGAAAAACCGGCTCCCATGAAGAGTCTTGTAAGCGCCCGGGTAAGAGCAAATATTGCCTTTTCCATGAAGAAATTGGCCATGACACTGAGGGTTGGTTTAGCCTCAGGCGGCTCTTTGACCGGCTTGCTGACGAGGGGGCTCTCAAATCCTATCTATCCAAGTCAAAGAGTGCTCCCAAACAAGTAAAAGGACCACCCCCAAAGACGACAGCTACTCAATCGGATACGGATGAGGATACCATCCTGACCATAGCCGGTGGATTTGCGGGAGGAGGGCCTACCATCCGGGGCACAAAGGATAACATTGGGAAACTGATCAACTTAGTGGATGAGGGCCTGTCGCCTGAATATTCATTTTCGGAAGTTAACATCTCCGAGAAAGATAGAGGAGAGGTCAGGCGGCCTCATGATGACCCTATAGTCATTGAGTGCAAAATCGTCAATCAAAAAGTTGGTCGGATCTTGATTGATACCGGGAGCTCATCTGACCTCATAAGCTAACGGTGCTTGGAAAAACTCAAGTACAAGCCCAGTAGCATGCATCCAGCCTCATACCCTATTGTTGGTTTTGGGGGAGGAGTAGTACATCCGATGGGCATGATTGATCTACCCATCTGGTTCGGAGAAAAGGGAAAGGGTCGGCACATGGTTGTCAAGTTTCTTGTTGTAGGAGAGCTGACTGCCTACAACTTGATTATTGGCCGCCCAACCCTTAACATCTCAAAGGCAGTCATCATCCCATCCCTAATGTTGATCAAGTTTGAAAGGGATGATGTCACAGTTGGTTCCTTGAGTGGGGACCAAAAGATGGCGAGAGAGTGTTACCTCTCGGACATTAAACCAATGCTTGACACAGACGGTCAAGAGAAATAAATAGTTGAACTTGACGACTGTGATCAAAGCTTACCGGCTACTAAGCTAGTCGGTAAAAAGAGGAAGACGGACCAACTGGCGCTTGTAAAGGAGAAACAATAGCAATCACTGTCAGGGGAGAGGCTAGACGGCCTTCGCCCCCAGCCGGCTGGAGAAATAATTGACATTGTCCTTGAAGATAGCCAGCCAGACAGAACCGTCAAGATTGGAACGGTTTCTTTTGAAAGCTTGGGACCTGACTTGCTCCTTTTGCTGAAGGAGTTCAAAGATGTATTTGCCTTTGAAGTAGAAGAGATGCCGGGTGTAAGTCTGGATCTTGTTGTTCATAAACTTGTTGTGGATCCTAAGAAGAAGCCGGTCAGGCAAAAGAAAAGGAACCATGGCGAGGAAAGGTCCCAGGCGGCAGCAACCGAGGACAAGAAGCTCTTAGATGCTGGGTTCATCCGGAAATGTTACTACCCGGATTGGGTAGCCAATGTTGTCCTTGTGAAAAAGCCGAATGGAACCTGGCGGATGTGTGTAGATTATACGGACTTGAACAGAGCTTGTCCAAAAGATAGCTACCCGCTTCCAAAGATAGATCATTTGGTAGACTCTACAGCCGGCCATGCCCTGATGAGTTTTATGGATGTCTACTACGGCTTCCATCAGATACCCTGTGGAAGAAAGACCAAGGGAAGACGGCTTTCGTCACAGATCAAGGGCTATGCTGCTACACGGTGATGCCGTTTGGGTTGAAGAATGTGCCTGCCACTTTCCAACGAATGATGAACTCGGTCTTTTATGATCAGATTGGAAGGAATGTGGAGGCGTACATCGATGACATGATAGTCAAGTCAAAGCTACAGGCGGATCATCTAGCCGACCTCCGAGAAACCTTCACCACCCTCAGGTGACATAAAGTCATGTTAAACCCAAAAAAATGCGTCTTTGGAGTTGAGTCTGGGAAGTTTCTTGGATTTTTGATTGATCAGAGAGGCATAGA